GAAAACATTAGGGGTTTTGTTTGTTTGTTTCGTTTTTCTTAGTATATGTTTGCAATCATGATAATAACATTCTTCTTGGGGAGTTGGTAATATGCATACAACATCTTAATCATTTTTATTTCATGACCACCCTGAAATGAAGGTTTAATAGAAAGACCTCTGGGAAAGGCTCAGGAGGCCAGGTTCTTCTCGTGTGTTCTGTTCCTGACTCCTTTTGTGATCTTGAGAAAGTAGCACAGTGGACCCGAATGAGGACTCTGAACTGTCTGCCCACTCTGAGCATGGCATTTGTTTGGGAATCTCCCTGGTGCCCCATTCATCTGTAAACGTAGCCAAGGCCGGCTCGCTTGTTCACAGGTGAGTGAACCTTCCCCTGCCTGGGGCTGGGCCTCTCCTCTCCGCAGTTGGCCCTCTGGTCTGCAGTGCTGCGAAAACAGCAGAGGCTTTGGGGCCACGCTTTAGAGTCAGGGACAGGCTTGGAACCGGGTCCTTCAGAGCAAGAATCGTCCTTGTGTTACGCTCAGAAACTGGCTTCCTTCTTTGGAAAGTGAGTATAACGACACCTACCTTGGAAGACTGTTTAAGGCAGCAATGCACATGAAATACTTAGAAAAGGGCCCAGCACATGACAAGTGTTCCACAGAGGGAAGTCATGGTCCTTAACATCCGGTCTGTCACAAGGGCGGGGCCTGGGTGTCACACAGCGTGGAGCTCAGATGGATGGAAACATCACCTTTGCATTTGTGGCCCAAGGAACTCAGATCACTGCAGTTAACTCCCAAACTTTGATGTGCCCGGTGGAAAACATAATTTAAGGAGAAGAGAGAGATGAGTGATTCTGGGAAGTAGTTGATTTTAAAATTTATTTTAGGCCGCATGAAGGAAAAGGAAAGTGGATTCATTAAAGAGGAAAAGAGGAATTGGAAAGAAAACCAAGTATCTGGTGCAGTTGGTGCAGCGTGATGACCAACAGGCATCTTCTCCTCTATCTCCGTGAAACCCAGGGTCTATCGGAGACGTGACTGTGGAGCCAGATCTGTTCTGAATTTCTCAAAACGTGGAGCCCGGTTTCAAGGTGGACATCGGTTTCAGGCCAGAGACTATAACGAAAGCCTCCTACCCAGGCCACCTATTCTGATGACTTAGACAGATTATCCCCATGGGTGGTGGAGGCCTTGGGGTTGGGTACACTGCGCTTCACTGCCTTGTACTCGTGACAACACCCGGCTCTAGGCCGTGAGACACGGAGCCGGGCGCGGTCACCAGGGCCGTGGGCCGCCTGTTCCGCGTGGAGCCGAGTGCAGCGGGTGCGGAGAGGTTTCTGCGATTTGCGTTCAGGGCAGAGCGCCCCCTAGTGTCCCCGAGGACATCTGCAGCCCTGGTGGAATCCAGGCCCAGGCGCGCTGCGGGGTCGTGCGCTCCAGACAGGGCCCCGCCGCCCGCTCCCCGCGCTCCCCAAGTTCGATCCCCGGTACCAAAAAAGAAAAAACAAAAAACAAAGATCTGTGTTTCTGAGCTTTATAAAATCGGAAATGCCGTCTTAAGAAAGCTCAGTTGAAATAAAGACATAAAAGAGCAGTTCCTTGCCAATTCACACTGGCAGTAGAGCTCTGTTCTTTCCTTCCTGCTTTTCTTTTTCTTACCTTTCTTACCTCCCCTACCTCCCTTTCCTTAGCCTTTCTCTCCCCCCCCCCTCTTTCCTCTCCCCCTTCTTTCTTTTTCCATAAAAACCATCTAAATACCACAGAATCGCCTTCTGCAGTAGTAATGTTAGGTGGTGAAAAATATTTTGCTTGCTTTCTCCGTCTTCTGAGGCCAATTTTGGGGGGCTTATTTTCTTTACCTTCTGAGGAGACACCTGCTGTTTCTGTTCTCAGCTACTTTGCATCCCGGGCATGACCCCAAACGATGTAGTCAACATTTAAGTTATGTCACAAAAAGGGGCTATTGTATATGTTTTAAACTGGTATTAAGGCCTGGAGTCCTCCACAACTTTTAAACTTTTTTTCAGCTTTTTTTCTACTTGGCTGAAACAGAAAAAAGTAGTGATAATAAAATATAAAAGGAAAACAAATTTAAAGTTTTCTTAAGTGATTCTAAAACCACAATGTGTGAAAGTAATTTTTCTTTTATGCGTTCAAGTTCCGAGTTCACCACTTAGCCTGGGTTTCTCGCTCTATCCCTCGATGGTGAACAGGAGCCTGGCAGAGCCCGGATGAGGCAGGGCCACCGGGGAGAGCGGACCGCTGGATCTCACCCAACCCTTGGCTCCTGCTGATACTTGGTGCAGGAGGAGATGCCAGGCTGCCCAAGGAGACCTGTGTGCTGGGTCCCCGTTTGGGGCAGGAGGAGGATGAGGAACCTAACCATGCGCCATTGGCGCAGGAGTCTGTGTACCCCTCTGACCATCGCCGGAAAAGAGGTTCGGGTTTTCTCTCAAGCCCCGAGTTAGAAAGAATTTAACAGTTCCACACACTTGAACAGATTCAGTTGCTCATTTTTTGGATACTGCTATTTGGTTTCTTCTGTTTAAAATATTCATCTAGGATAGAAGACACTTTTAGTTTTTCAGGAAAAAAACGGCTTCCCTGATTCATCCTATTTAGCAGATGGCATGTCATTTTTTTTTCCCAGTGTAGCACAACCCGTAGATCTATTGGAGATCATCTTGGGAATTACTCTCTCCTCTGTTTTTTTTTTTTTTTTTTTTTTGGATAGGACTCACCATGAACGCATGTGATGCGCCTGTTGCTCTTCGTCTGAGGACAGATCTGTCTCTCTTGTCCTATATCTACAACACCACACAGTATTAGGGATCAACAAAGGGTTTTTTCCTCTTTCCCTTTCTCTAGTAGTGAGCAATATAAACTCATCATTTTGAGTAAAGACTGTTTTGAAATACAGCTATATAGAGATGTTGGCTAAACAGACCAGTCGATAACAGCATAGAACCCAAGTTCCACCATGGAAATGAATGGCAACAACCCTTCACTGAATTTTCTCTTCCCCATGGGCAGAAGTCCTTGGAGTGTGTGCAAAGTGCCCCTGCAAAGTGTGCACCTTACAGCTTTCCTTGGAGGTTTTCCTCAGGCCTTTTGTGTTTTGTGGGTTCTTGTCAGGAGGGAAGAGTCCTGATCCCTGGGGAAGGAAGATTTCCAGAGAGCAAGATGACTCCTTCCACTGAAAGCCTCCGAAGGAGACAGGGCTAAGGCAGTACTGTGCCTGGAATTGATTTTTTTTTTTTTTGCACTATTGGGAATTGAACTCAGGGCCTTTACAATGAGCTACATCTTTACCCACCCTCCTTTTTGAAAATTTGAGGCAGTCTCATTAAGTTGCCCAGGCTGGGCTCAAACTTATGATCCTCCTGACTCAGATTCCCATACTGTGAGATTACAGACTTGTGCCTTCCACCTGACTGGAGTCAGTCTTGGTTCTAGAAACTGGGCCTTGGATCAGGGAGTTGGTTATTTGAGCAGAGGGAGAGGTGAGCCACTATTGTAGTGCTAGAATCCTAAGGCTGATGCCCTGGGCTGCTCTCACCCTGAAGAATTGGACTCATGCACGATGAACAGGGTCTTGAATTACATGTAGGTTTCTCTGAAAGAGTCCTGCCTGATTTCTCCCATTCTAGCATTATTATTAACAATACCTCTTTCAGTTACCAAGTGCATGTTTCTACAATTTGTTCATCTTGTGTCGATCACTTTTCAACAGTGACATCGTGTGGCCTTGAGAAGCAACAGCAGTGGATCACGGTGTCTCAAGATCATTCCTGGCCAGAGCTGTCGAGGCTCCTGATCTTTTAGAGGAGAACTCCAGAGGGAGTTTGGATGCAGCCTGTTTATAAGGCATGTGGGTGCTTCAGTAATTTTAATTGGAAAGATAAGACATGCGGCCATGAATTAGTGAAGTAGTTCATACCAGTCAAAGGCTTTTTATTTAGAACCCTTGTTTACTGTACCTCCAGAGAGCAGATTAATTACACAGTTCTGATGTTAAGCTCCTTGCAGTAGTTTTCAAGTATGTCAATCTATGATCTCGAGAAGTTATAATTTCATTGGTGGAAGACGTGAAGTGAACTACAGATATGAGTCTGTTTAAGTGCTAAAATTTAATGATAAAGTTGACATCTGCTTTTGCCTGTCCAGCATCCCTTTGTCTTTCTACGGGAACAGAGCCCCTTTCCTGGTGGGCAGCATACTCTATATAACTGAGGTAGGACTGACACCCTTATTTCTTTCTTGTCCCTTTACCTCATCCCAGGGATTGGACACATCACTGCTTGACTAATTAAAACTCCTGTGCTTTGGGCCACATGGACTGTGGGTGAAGTGTAGGTAACTGACCCCACGTAGGTGGGCTTGTGCTCTTCTCTGGACCTTACTGATGGAGCTATTGGAAGACTTTCATTCTGCTAAGGCTGCTACTCAGGTATTATAGAATTTAGGCTTTTTTTCAACCATCCTGCCACTAAAAGCAGAATCCTATACAAAGAGAGAGGAGCAAAGTAGATGAAGCATAGATGACACTGAGGCTTCTGGATCCAACCTTGCCCAAACCAAAGCCTCAAACCTATTCTATTCATTTTTCTATTCCATATGTGTATAAAAATTATACACATATATATTAAGATCCCTCAGACCTTAAACAAGTGGTGGCAAACCTGTGGGATGTGTGTTATTTGTTTTTCTTTTAAGATAAAAGATGTTACTGTGTGAGTTGTTTTTTCTAAACCAAAGCCTCAGTATTCAGGTTTAATTGAAGTGTTGGTACTTTGTGATTAAATAAGTGGGTTTTGGGTTGCAGTTTGGGTACTCATCTCTAAAAGTTTGCCATTACTCCCTTCAGAGTTCTAATATAAACTGTGAGCAATCTGCATTTAAGGATTCAATCTCTGCAGATGTTCGAGATTCACTAGCATCACTGCTCAACTCTAATTCTGCCTAACAGCTATGTAATTCCCAAAATGGTCAAGTTTGTTTACTAGCAGGCACTCTTCAGCTTATCTACAGAGACACAGAAAGCTAGTGATAGAGCTCTTTACTGGGCAAGGTCAATCTCGGACAAATGACGCAGAGGACAAAGATTCATCAAGTAGGCAAAGCTCGAAGGAGAAACTGAGGGAAATCTCTTCCTTTCACAAGTTTTACCATCTCCTACCCACAGCTTGGGTCCAACTTGCCTTCTGTTGCCCAAGAATGCTTTTGTGATCAAGGAGGCAACAGGTCCTCTGTCTCAAGCATGAGAGATGGAAAGAGGAAACATCTCAGCTTCCACAAATTGCTTTTGCTCAGTATCTTTGGCAGTGTGTTGACAAGGAGGTCTGGATTTATAAAAGTTATATGCAAGAACACATATCCCAGCAGTCTGACCAAAAATAGGATGATGAAGAGACAGTGAAAAATCCTGAAAGGAGAGAGCCAGGATGCTGTTAACTAGAGATTAGGAAATGTGGAACAAAATGGAGGCATAATAATAATGAATGTATGTCTAGATCCTCCTTGAAATCCTGACATCTCCCATTAGTTATGGTTGTCTTTCCTCATAACACTGTAAAGGTAGCCCAATTCCCATATACTGCTTGACTCTATCACTGTGTTTCTGTATCTTTGTGGCATATATCTAAAATAATCTTATTCCTTTTTTGTTTATTTTATTTTGGCAAATTGTTTTCCAAAGGTGTTACATCAAATTATACCCCACCAGCAAGGTATGTATTTTTGTGGACCCATATCCTCACCAACACTTAGTATTATCAGGTTTTTAAAATTCTGCCAATCAAACTGTGTAAAATAACATCTCTTGTGGTCTCAATTTGCATTTCTCTGATGAAAAATGATGCTGAACATCTATTCATAACTTATTGGTTTTGTGTGTTTCCTTTAGCTAATTCATCTACTAGTTTGGGCTTCTCTTATTGATTTGTAGGAGTTCTTTTTTATATTATTGATATCAATCCTTTTCCATTATGTGTAATGTTTTATGTTTCCCCAATTATAATTTTTACTTGCTGTAAGGTATTAAGGAACAAAAGTTCTTAATGTTAACATTGCTTTCTGTGTCCTATTGAAAAATAATTTCTTACCCTAAGGCTGAAAAGACACCCTTTTTAAGAATTAAAACTCTATGGTAGTTTTGAAATATATTCACAAATTCTGTTACTCTTTTCTTCAAGGAATCTCCCTTCATTGTAGTGTAGATGGGACCTAACGATTCGTTTCTACAGAATAGAAAATGGTGGAAATCACAGGACCCTCATAGACTACCTCACAAAGACATTGTGTCCTCCCTCTGACTCTTGGAGGGAAGCCAGCTACCCTGCTGTGCGGACATGCAAGCAGCCTTTTCTGGAGGCCCAGTTTTAGAGGAACAGATCACCTGCCAAGTACTAGAAAAAAACCTGGAGGACATGAGAGTAAATTACTTCATAGGTAGAACTTCCAGCCAAAGACCAGCCTTCAAATGACTGCAACTTTGGTCAACTTTTTGACCACAGCCTCAAGACAGAGCCTGACACAGACCTGTTTGGCTAAGCAGATCACAGAAAAGTGGCTCACAGAAACCATGAGATAATGTTTGTTGTTGAAACCACTAAGTTTTGTGTGTGTGTGTGTGTGGGGGGGGCACACAATTCATTATGCAGCATGAGACAAAATAACTTTACAGATTTTTTTGTTTGTATTGACATTTAAGTCTTCATTGCCTGCTTTTTGTATATTGTATATAGTAATCCAGTCTTCTGCTAACGTGGGTAGCTATTTTCCCCTATGCTGTTCTTAGTGATCATGTCTTCCTTCTCTTCTAACATGCAATCACTGTCACATGCCAGAGTGCCCATGTGCTCTGTGTGCACTGCTTCTGACTATTGCTTATGACCATTCTACTGGTCAGTTTACTAATTTCTTTGCCAGTGCCACAATACTGTAATTACCATAACTGCATAGTAAGACCTGGTGTCTAGAAGGGCATGCTCCAGACTTCCTGTTCTTCTTTAAAATTATCTAGGTTATTCTTGACTCTTTATTCTTCAATATCTAGCACATTTTAGGATCATTCTGTTCAATTCTATGAAAAACCTTTTGGGGAGTTTGATTGGAATTGAATTGAATCTACGAATCATTTGGAGACAAATGATTATTTCTTATTTTTTTATATTATCTTTAAAATTTCCAAGTAAGTTTCTATAAAGTTTACTCTGGCAATCTTGATTCCTTCTTTAATTTAATTATTTAGCCCTTCTGTTTGTTTTTTTTTTTGTACCAGGGATTGAACTCAGGACCTTGTGCTTGCAACGCAAGCATGGTGTCACCGAGCTAAATCCCTGGCCCAGCCCTTCTGGTTTTAAAATAATTTGCACAAGCAAACCTTTCTAACATTTCCTTTTCTACATTATCCTTTCCCACCTATGCCAGGGTGACTCCTGTCTCAGGACAAATACCCTACCTACCTCCACTAACCTGTCAGAAACAATCCCTTTCTTGCCGGCTTCCTCAAGTTTTCTTCCACAGTTATCTTTGTGTTTGGAGCCAGAATTCATTCTAGAACAGCCACTTAGTCAGAGTTAGAATCAAAGGCCTTAACAAACCTTTCCTCCTCTTTCTTCTCAAGACTGGATACAGTGCTTGTGGGAAGGCTCTGGGCTTACATTCCCAGAGAAATCCTAGGATAAACTAATTTCCTCTCTTGAGTTACTTCCTAGTACACCAGTGCCCTACAAGGTGTAGGGGCAGAACAAGAGGAAAGACATTTAGTGTTAGATGTGATAATCTAGATTTACAGGATGTCTCTGCTCAGGTTCCCTTGGAGACACCAGCTCTCTTCAGGACAGATAGTCCGTATCCTACCTACGTGATTCCATGCTGAGCTTGGGGGTTATAGGGAGCCTAGACTTCTGAGGAAAATTCTGCTAAGTCTTACAGAAATTTTGTATGTAGGAATATTGGAATATGTAATACTTCACTGATCTAGTGTGAAGGTGTTATTCTTCTTAAGCAAATTTTCCAGACAATTGGAGCTGACTTTTTAGCACCAATAATTTTATGTTAACTATTTTGATGGAACCCTTGAAATCATATTTCATACTACTTTGACTATATGTTTCTTTATGCATTCTTAAACAGGTCATATCAAACATAATTTGACCTTTTCTTGAAAGTGTAGGGGTTTCATGAATACCAATTTTACTCTGCTATTTCAGTGATTCCCTCAGGAGTAATATCCACACAAGTGTTTGAATCCTGAGTTCCTTCTCAGTTTAACAAGCATTTTTGAGCAGTTATGATGTGGTAGATACTATTAGATGCTTGTTTTGTACTCTTTTTTTCCTGTCTCTTCTGTCTGTTCTCAGGAAGTGGTAAACTTGTGTCTGGAAGTGCTTTAATCCATTTCTAATGAAATGTTGCTGCTGGGAAACCACATACATCAGGCTAATTCAAATTGTCAAAAGGGAAAGGGAAAAAAATACAAGATTCACCAAATCTAGCTTTAGGTGATCAGATTTCTGTTTTTTACTAGGTTGTTGGCTTCTAACATTGGAAAGCTGAGATTAATTTGCCTTTGAATAATGAAGTTGTAACATTAGAACTGAGAAATGTAGTTGATGACGCTAGTTTGCTGACTTGAATTGTGTGTGTGTGTGTACGTTTTGCTCTCTGCCAGGATGGCTAAATAGTGATCCTAATTTTCCAGGAAGCTTACATAAAGATATTTTGCTTACCTTTTACCCAACCATGTTGTCGTTTTGAGGACAGAAGTACACTGGGAGAAGAAGAAAAAATATTGAGAAATAGGTAATTTCTGGAAGCCATTATCACTGTCAAATAATATTTAGTGAGGTATTCATGAACTGTTACATTTAGAAAATATTTTACAAATACTTTTGATATGGGTAAGTGCACATAGTTTTCAAAGATGGAAGTCTTACACATTTATTATTATTGTTATTTTTATTGCTATTTTACTCACTAATATGAATAAACTAAGGCACAGAAGGATTTAGTATGTGTAAGTGGTTGGACTGGGCGTGAGCACTGGGTCCTCTCGCTTCCCAATTCATGGTTCTGTAAACTGTACCTGTCTATCTCCTACTGTGGAGAACTTTAAAGGTTATGTAGGCTGCACAAACATCTCCTAAGTCAGAAGTTTTGAAAACTATGACAGTGTAAAGATGAAAATTTCTGGATTTCAGTGGAATTTCTCTTCCAAAATATTTTCTCATTTATTTACTTGTGGTTTTAACTTCTTTGTGAGATCAAAAAGGAGAGAAATTATGATCAGATTTTAGAGTTGTAGAAATGAAGCTCACAGAATTAGAATTAGAAACTTTATGGCTTACAAATTCATTTCTACAGCTCAATTGAGGTTATGTGAATTGCCAGATAGTCAATTACTGAGGCAGCCTCTCTGTGAACTTGCTTAAACATCAGTAGGTCATTGTTATAGCTTATATCTGGATGTCCTCCTAAAGCATCATGGGCTCATAGGTGTGGCTTTTGGGAGGTGGTGTATTTGCTTATGTGATGTGATAGAGGTGTGTGATCATTGGATTAGCCTATTGACTGGTTTGGTGTAGTTCTGGGTGTGGATAATGGGAAGGCCCACCCTGGGTGTAGGTGGTACAAGCCAATAGGCTTGTAACCTGGATGGAATAAAAAGAGAAAGGGAGGTCTGCTGCTTCCTGGTTTCTGCCTACCCTTCCATGGACTGTTTCTCCTCAGCCATGCCCCTCTTCCACACCACCCTGCCTTGGAGCACGTTGACTAAGGACTGAAACCTCTATAGGCTATGAGCCAAAATAAACCTTTCCTCCTTTACTTGTGACTGTTGGGTATTTTGTCCCACCAAAGAGAAAAATAACTAAGATAGTCTTCAAACCATCATGGGATATTGATGTGCTTAATGAAGAAAATTCTGGGTTTTTCCTGATACCTGGTTAGAAGGAATAGTTTGATGAGCCATGGGGTATAAATGGTGGAGCATGCTTGGCTTGATTCTAGAAAGCTGAGTACAGTTAATATTAGGAGCCTTGTTTGCTGAGTGGAACATACAAGCTTAAGTCCTATAAAAAATTGTTTAGGACAATGTGATCTAGAGTTATCATGGACATTTTCTAACAGAACCCAAACACCTGGATGAGACCAGGACAATGGTCAATGATTTGTATGTTCTTTTAAGGAATAGATGAGGAGTTTTAAAATTTTATTAAGGCAACTTATTTTGACTGCATAAAATTTCATGTCAATACAAATTATAAAATTAGACTGAAACAAAAGTTTATCTCTTTTTTTGAAAGAGTGTCTCTAAATTGCTAATTTGCCAATGCTGGGCTTGGACTCGTGATCCCTCTGCTTTAGACTTCCAGAGTGTCAGGATTACAGATGTACACTACTATGTCAGCTTCTGAAGTTTATCTTTTAAGCCTGTGTGTTTACTGTCATAAGATACCAGGCAGGCCTGGTGCTCTACATTGGGAAATTCTGCCTACTTCTGACATTTTTGTGGGATCTTGGAGTACATGATGTTAAATATGGACAGACATGAAGTTGTATAATAAAGAAGCAATTGATGTTTATAAAATGTGATTGAAAAACATGGTGAAGTTGGGCATAGTGGTACATGCTTGTAATCATAGCATTCGTGGAGTCTGAGGCAGGAAAATTGCCCTGATTTTGAGGGCAGCCTAGATTAGATAGTGAGTTCAAGTTCAGCCTGAACTACATAGTGAGACCCTGTCTCAAAAAACCAATGGAAAAGAAAAGAAAAATATGGTGAATACTTAAAAATATTTGAAAAATAAGTATTACAGCAAAGGCCATATTGCTATTAGTTCCCCTCAAAATTCCCCCTTCACTTTGAACACACTTATTGCATCATTTTTGCCTCTTTCTGAAGCAGTTCTGGAAGTCCTCATTTGCATCTTTACCAGGCATGATCAAAATTACAGTGAATGTTGCTGTTGCATGTCATCCAATGGAAAAGCAAACTCCTAAAAACATTACTGTGTGTCCTCATCCACCTGTATCTGGCACCATGTGACTTCTAGCTCTTCCTCAAAATCAAAATGACTATGAAAGGTAAACATTTAGAACTGATATAGGACTTCTCCACAGTCAGTGGCACAACTGAAAAACACAAAAGAGGACGCTTCCAAGCTGTTCCAAAAAGTGGCAAGAATGATGGATTATGGTAAGGGAGATTAATGCAATATGTCTTTTACATAATATATTTAAAAATCTTTCTAACATTAATCAAAATTTTGGATCATATTTCATATATTGTAACTCACACTTCTGATGAGATGGTGACAGGTGCCTTGGGCTCTGTGTTGGGAATGATCGGACACTGTACTGGGGTCAACAGGGAAGAGCGCCATGACTGCAGGAATGGGAGGGGTGAATTGGGGCCATGTACTGGCCTCCATTCTACAGAGCACCCGTCCTTACTTTCATTCTGAGTTCTCTTAGGGCTTAGGCTAGTTTTGAAGAATCTGTCATTTGTTATGGTCTTAAGTGGGGGGGAGTTGCTGATTGTTCCTTAACATCTTGTTTGTTGTGTTAGGGGCAGGATGCTTTGGAATAATAGGCAATTCTTGGAAAATGCACGTGGGGAAATTGGGTGTGTATTTGGTGACTTAAATCTTTTGGAAACTCCTTTGAAAGCCAGTGACAGTAAGAGGAGCTGAAGAAGGTATGGTGCACTTACCTCATTATTTTGGCCTTCACACTTTCTCCTCCCAGGGTCCATGTTCAAGACTTTTGATCTAGTGGGAAAGGAACCGAGAAAGGGATGTAAAATAGTATTCAAGTAGTCATACCACAGGATGGTGATGGAGAGACAGCTTTACTGTCTAAAGGTACATTCTTTAATGCTATAGCAACTGAGTAGGTGTAGCTATTTAAATTAAATTAATAAAATAAAAATTCATTTTTTCCTTCATACTAGCCCTTTTAAATACTCAGTAGTCACATGTAGTTAGTAGCTACCTATTGGATTGCATGGAGATTTTTACACAACTCCATATTAGAATTTTTGCTTAATTAACAGTCAAGCTTACTTTAGTGCTCAGCAAGGATCCTAGAGACTTGGAGGTGTCTTTTAGGAGACCAGAACTCCAGGTCCGAGGACCCTGCTTCTAGGTCATAGTTTGGCCTCTTTAGAGGCTGCACATAGCTTTAATTTAGTATTTAATAAATATTTAATAAATAGTAATATTAAATATATAGTAATACATTTTTACTAAGTTTTACCTTAAAAAGAGGGTCAAGAAATGAAGGTGAGGATTTTGGTTTTGTGCCATTTATACTCTTAACAAACTCAAGGAATGGGGGGCTTTTACTTTATCATTTCCAGTTGTCATATTCAGAGTTCAGTACAGTGTACAGTTTTGAGTTTCATAATATGGTATCTGTAGGGTGTCTAGAAATGGGTTTCATCCCTTTCCTGTATGTGCGATTTCCACATATTTGGGGGAAAAGGGGGTGATATTATTTTCAAGGCCTTTCTTGAAATATAAGGAATATCCTGTTAAAGTGCCTGTCCACAAACACTTTTGAAAATACGCATTTCTGCTCATAGTATAAGCCCAAATAATAATGTGCTACAATTATTAAGGAAGAGGTATTTTTGCAGTCTCTTTTTAAAGCTGTAATTCTACAGTTTGTGTGGTCTAGAAGAGCTCAACCCGATCACTAACAGAGGAGAAATTCATTCCAGGCAGGAACTGCTGAGAATGCTTGCTCTGCCTGAGCTTGTGGTGGAGTTACTACTAAACCACCATGTTCTTTTGTTTGCCAAGGCTCACACTTGTCTCTCAAGGGATCAAGTCTCTAGTTCTTCTATTCTCTTCAAGGTTTCCTGGTTCTTCTGCAAAGAAAGGAAAGAAGCCACAGTTATTTTTTACATACTATGTTTTTCTAAACATATAAGCATTATTAAAAAAATTTTTATTAGTACATGTTTGCAGTACCTAATGTTTATATTCTTTGTATGGGGTTGGTACATGTACATAACACATCTTAATGCCCTTTTCCATCCCTTTTTTGTCCCTTCCTCTTTTCCCTCCCTCTCTTGATTCCTTTCCCATTTGAGAAATCTACCTCCCTACTTCCTATTACCTTTTATTTACATTTTGAGTTTCTCATATAAGAGAAATTTAAGCTTGTGATATTTAAGTCTGATTGATTTCATTTACTGTTATGTTCTCAAGGTGCAACCATTTTCCTACATAAAAGCACTTACTACACTGCAACATGAATGTCCTTTATTCCCACTTTCACTTCCTCTGCTGTCAGTAGACCCCGACCTGCTACTTCTGACCTCTGACTGTACCTCATCCCTAGCACTGGAAATAGCTGGAAGTGCTCCTTACAGGGTAGAATTACTGGGGAGTCCAGGGACAAGAAAGTGAAAGTGGCAATGGTTTAAAGTCAACAGCTGCTGACTATAAAGTCTCTTTGTAGCACCAACATGAAAAAGCTAAAATTCTTTTAAATAGCATTTTTTGAACAGCCCAGTTCCATTTTGTCCTGCCCCTGAACAAACATTTTTCTGTCCCTTTCCCAAGAAGCTGTACCTTTATGCAGAGAGATTGGTCTTCACAGAGCTGGGCTATAAATGTGTGGTCTTCCATTACCTGGAAAACCAAAATTGGATCTTAAATTTTCTCTCAGTGGGTTGCTATAAGAATAGGAATTTACATATCTCCTCCTGTGTCACAGACTCAAAATGGAGTTTTCTAATTGTTCTAATTGTTTTTTGTGGTAATAGACATTATTTTGTTTTGGGGGTGCTTTATAAACTATGTTTCATAGTACAAATGAGAATTACTTGGGGCCAGTTGGGAGAAAATGATACAGAGAATGTAACCTGTAAAACATAAAGGAAGGTGACATGGTGGGGCGTGTTTGTGGTTTATCTTTTCTTACAACTTCCTATTCCCATAGTGGCCCCCAGACAGGAACCTGGTTATAAAACAATCATTTACGGAATGTATTAGATTGGTCAAAGATCAAGCGTCCCTTTTCTGGGGAGAAGTAACATTGAAGTCCTTGTTTTACCTCCACCAGTTTCATTTCTTGGTCTGTACAGGAGGCTTCCAGCTACTGTAACTTAACCTGCAGAAAGGAAAGGTGGCTGGTAACTCAGCAAGGTGAAAATAGCCTCTTAGCTCCAAGATTATCTCCCAGGTTGTTGGAGAGTATATGAGGACACAATTTCAGGTGTCTTTCTGATGGAGAACCATCCAGTGCTTTTTGCATCTTCTTGGTGGACTTACTCCTCCACTTATAGCTTTCATCTGGTCCTATTTGCATCCCTAAATTCTAATCCCTAGGTTCTTTGTCTCATTCAGCTTTTTCTTTCAGAAATAAAATCAGTCTTGAAAAAACCTTGCTCCATCTTTTCCTTTTCTAAGTCAGTCAGAATCCAGAGCTTTTGCTCACTTCTTTATCCCTTCCCATATTTCTTCTTCCTGCTTCTTTCTCTAAATAGATAAAATACTGTTCTTTATCAGTCACTTTGTTTGCATTGGTAGTGCTGAGGCAACAGTGGGAACAGATGGACTCTCCAACCTTACAGGTGACATCTAATTGGGAGACATAACAAATAACACTATAATGGTATGGGATGGAAAGGAATTAAAAACCAATCACTGATATAATTTAGGGCATGGTGATGTTATAAGGGGATGATGTGATAGGAGGTCTCATGAGGTAACACTTGAGTTGAAAGCTAAGTAATAAATATTTGTAAAATGGAGATCTGGAAGAAATATGTTTCAAGGGGAGGTTATTGCCAAGGTCAAGATCAGAAAGTAGGGTAAATTTGGTGCACATGAAGTGAGACTTCTGACAGGCGGGAGGAAAAATGGGAGAGGCAGAGAGGGACTGTATTACATAGGACTTTGTAGCTTCTAAGAAGAATTTGGTTCTTTATTCTAATTGCAACAAGAAGCCAGGAGAGGGTTTGAAATATCAACGCACATTCTGATTCGTATTTTTAAAAGCAGACTTTTCTTTGTATGGAGAATGGATTGTAGAAGAGTAAAAGCAGGGAGGGTGGCTAGGAGGCTACTTCAGTTGTCCAGGTTATGGTAGCTTGCAGAAGGGTCATAGTAGCAATTTTTATCTCTATCCATTACTACAGGGCTAGTCAGCCAAATAGTTCAAGACACAATTTCAGGCCAATGCTGTGAGTTATAAAGGGGTTGAAGCAAGCATCTCATTAAGCTGCTGAATTCCTTCATATATCTCAGCCAGACGTAGACCATTAAGTTATGTGACACTGTGAGGGCTTAGCATCCAAAAGAGAAAAGGATATTTTATACAAAACCTCATTTTATCCTCAGGCTGAGGCTGGGAGGGAGTGACTACTTTGCCCAAATTCACACACCAAATTAAGTGCTGGAGCTAAGATTTAAATGAGAGATTTTGAACTGCTTGAGTTGTTACGTATGCATTTGTGCCCTGCTCATCCTAACAGAAGACAGAAAAAAAACCATCTGGCTTCAGAGTGAATTTATTTACTGAGGGCAGAGGAGGAGAATTCAGCCCTTAGTAGCTCAGGCAGAAACCTGACATGGGAGAAAAATTCAAAGCATTTAATCCAAGTTTGACATCATTTCTGATTTGACAGCTTGTTTCCTGGTCACACAATCCAAACCCACTCAGGATGCTTTTTCCATTTACCTGCAACTCTTCTGGGGTTCTATCTGGATAACATTGTTCACACTTGGTTATCTTGTGTGATTTCTTTGCAAGCTGCAGTTTCAAATAAAAAATAAAAATACATTCAGTAAAGTAATAGAGAAGTCCAGAACATGCTCTGATGTGTGTGGATCAGTAGTGATAGCTTGCTAACGAATGTCAGGCCACGGTCACTTGGAGATACTTGATGCTCTGTGGAAATACCTTTGTTCTACCACTACCCTCTTTTCACTAGTCTTATATACCAGGGCTAAAGTCCACTCAAGGCAAGATACTCCCCTGAACTCCTGATTCCTGCTGGGCTTCTCAGGGCATGGGTCAGAGAGCAAGACAACCAAAGGAAGCCCATTGCTCTCTGAACAGGGGTTGAGGTAGAGGACATGCCTAGCCAGGGGAGAAGAAATCACTGGGGATGAAGGCGGCTGTGTTTGTGCATCTTAAAGTCTCTTTGAAAGTAAAATCAGGGCCAAGAATTTAGCTCAGGGGTTCCACCACCTGCCTTGCAAGAGCAAAGTCCTGAGTTCAATCCCCAGTACCCCCCTAAAAAAGTAAAATCAACCTTTTCATGAAGGTGCCAGTCAATCATTTCTACAGAGTATCTGTTGGAATCTATTTTCTTGTGAAAGAATGAAGAACCCATGCACAGGATCACTAAACATCTCATCCACTCCTTTCACCTCTTGTTCAAAGACAAAAATGGTGGCATTTAGGACTAAGCCTCAGTTTTAGGAGAGTGGGTCACAGGGTAGTACCCACTTCAAGTTCAGGCCTCTCTGATACAGGAGTTCCTTCCTTCCCTCGCCTCTTTGGTTAATGAGGGTGCTGTGTGGACACTGGGGAACACAGAGCTCCACCCCACCTTTCTCTGCAGTTCTGTTGTACTATGGACCAGAGTCTCATTCTTTCTTTCCTGGGGAGAGAAAGAAGCAAAGGTGTAAGTCTGTATTGGTACAACATCGTCAGTGTTCCAATGCAGCCAATTGCTGTCCATTTCACTCCAGCATTATTTTCCTGCAGTAACTCCATCTTACTTGCATGATATAAGTAGATCTTGAGATCAAGCCACAGGTAAAGTATATACCAACTCAGCAGTAATATAGATGACCACTTGTGGGGTTTCCCAACAAACATTAAACATTACCAAAGAAAGCCCACCTTCCACTTGTTCCCTTCCTTGCATGAACACACTCTGTCATGCCTTTGCATGTAAAAAGGGGAGACTGGCAGTTTTGGAGCTGATAAAAAACAGATGTCAGTTCTAAGGACACTTTAGTAATGAGATACGTGCAGTTCGCGTTGAGAACCCATCTTTACTGGATTCATGGAGTCAGAATCACATCTGAGGCATGCCCAGCCCAGTAAAATCTGCCTGATTCCCAGGCCAAACATCCAATGTTCACTTTATTTGGGTAAATATTACCCAGTTTGTAAAGAGTCTATTTGAAACTTGCAGTTTAAGCCTTCTGACAAAAGAGAAATGCCCGACAATGAAGAATACACTTACTGCTTCACAAGATACAGGTCTCTAGAGCAAGTAGGAAACTTCAGTTTTGCCTGTTCCTCTCAATCCTTTCTTTTGGATGGAAAATTTCCCTCCTAAATCTCTACTAATTACCTCTGGATCTCGCGTTCTTTCTCTTGGGTTTTGAGAAGCAGCTCCTGGTTTGCTTCATCTCTCCTCTGCAGGTCCTTTTCAAGGTCTTTGTTCAAAGTGATAATGTTCCTCTTTGATTGGGCCAATCTTAAGATTTCCGTTTTCTCTGACCTATAGGTTCAGTCCCCAGATGAATAAAAGCTGGTTATCTTAAGATCAATAAGTACCGGGCCAAGAGGGATATTGAGAAGACACTGAATTCATCAGCCTTGCTCTTTCTGAGAACACAGTTTTACTTTTTCATTATTAAAAATTATATTTCTTAATCGTGCTTTATGATATGTTTCAAGATTTCTCAACTCAGCGAGGGATGTCTTTCCTAGGTTTTCTCCTCCAATGTGCTCAAAATAATAGTGCACCTCCACACTGGTTTAATGAAAAACTTTGCTTCCTTAAATAGCCCCTTACATTGGAGGGAGTTGTTTCCCTTAGCAACCTTTTCTTAAATTGTTCACAAAATCTGCTCATGCAATACTCTTTTATTGGTATTTTTATCTAGGCACCTGGTGCATTACTTCTGGTTGGGCTAGTTTCATGCAAAGACAAGAAAGATTTCTATCTTCATGGAAGGGCTTCCATCTTTCCCTCTCCTTCTACCTCACCTTTTCTTCTTTTTGCCTACTAAACTGTTTGGGATTCTACCATGACAGCCATTCCACTGAGCACATGCAGACATCCTTCAGGCTCAGCTTTCAAGAAGAGAAACATCTACTTTGCAATATATTTGAGTGAAATAATTGACAATTTTAGAATAGTCTAGAAAGGCTTCCTGATTATGAGAGGCTGTCAATAAACTTTTCTTTTTATTGCTTGTAAATTAATTCATTGGTTTGTCTCCAAAGCAATTAACCAGAATAGGGTCCTAAGGCTTAGGGACTTTTTGTGGGGAAGAGGAATAAAGTATGATATTGTGAAACAGAGCATTACCTTGGAAAAGCCGGCTTGGACATAGAATTTACAATAGTTACCACTTTATGAAGGAATGGGGTGCTTGGGAAGGGTGCAGTAGGGCCTGGATGGACAGATGTAGAAGAAAGAGATAAGTCAGAATTTGAGTGAAGGAATTAGCAACAGACCTATGTCACACCTTGGTCCTTGGATGTGGCTTTACATAATCATGATTACTTACTTGTAATCTTGCTGCTTTCTTTTGATCTCCATTTTAGATTCTCTAAAATGCCAGCAGAGATGTAACTAAGAAATTAGAGAAATGGGTACATTCATGAAACATGAAGTAGTTGAGACAGGAGTCCCCCAAATAGAAACTAAATTAACTTGTTTCCTTCCTCCTACACCCTAATTCATCCACAAGCAATCACAGCCTTCTGTTTCTTCTGTAAACGATCTGATTACACCTCAAGTAAGGAAATGATGAGAATAGAGGGATAAGGGTGGAAAATTCAGTATGTGTCCTTCTAGACAATACATTTAGAGATGGTTTACCAATGTAAATCTATTTATAAATTTATATAAGACACTAGGAAGAAATGAAGGTCATCAGTTGTTCTAAAGTCCCCTTTTCTCTAAAGCAAGTTGTTCTCCTTAAGACCCCAAAGGCAGGGATACAGAGCATCACTTGTCTGAGAGACATCTCTGCTCTCCAGCTGGGCCTCCACATGGCCTTTGGGTTATTAACATAGTATTAAGACAGCTCAGAAAACCAAGCAGAAGTAAATTATGTGGCTCTCTTGGTCCCTAAGTTTCTACTTTTTCACCATTCCTTCTACAAACTCTGCTTCACTTCTGCTGTGTATTGTCTTCTGATCCTGCCCTAGTCAATTGGCTTCTGAAGAGTCTAGCCTTTTATTACTGAAAAAGAATCTCAGTAGAATCCCAGAACCTTCCAAGGGGTTGTGACCCTGCGTGTCACAGTGCGGTGGGTGGCAACAGTTTCTGCTTCATGCAATCAGAGCCTTCATTGGGTCCGTGGGCTTCATAGTCCAGCCTGCCCTAAGCAGTGGTAGGTTCCATGGATCTGATTTCTGGAGCATATGAAGGGACAGCCTCTTTTTTTTTTTTTTTTTTTTTAATTTCCCTAGTGGATAAGCCTTCCTTTCAGCCCAAGTGAAGCGAAAATGGGAACTTTGGGTCTTTCAGCCAGCAGTCTGACCCTACCATGTACCCAACTAACTACTCATTCATACAGCAAACATTTAAAACACTGAAATACACCTATGTTTGCCAGGCACATGAGGAGAAAGAGTGAACTGAACAGCCCAGAGCATTTCTGCTCTTAGAATTTACCTTAGAAGGGAGGGGTGTGTGTGTGAGTGTGTGTTTTGGAGGGGCACAGGTAACAAAGTCAAGAAACAAGTAAATTTTATTTTATATGATGAAAGAACACAGTGAAGAAACAAACAGGTGAACAGGGTAAGAGGAAGGGTCGTGTGTGTGTGTGTGTGTGTGTGTGTGTGTGTGTGTGTGTCTGAGGGTGTTGCAATTTTAAACTGAGTAGTGTAGAGAAGGCAGGTAGGCCTTTCCAATCCTGGAAGTGGTCTGGTGGCTGCACAAAGAAGCTTAGTGGACAAGGGAAGAACTTGGGGTGTGCAGGGTGAATACAGTCCTGCAGATCCAAGAGCACAAAGGAGAAGCACGAAGACCCAGGCCCCTCCCTGAGAAGGACCATGGATTTGTAGCTTTTCCCTGAACCTGCCACTGTAACTGGCATGGCAAAATGGAACTTTAAAAGTTAATTTTTTTTCGTTAGAGACAAGTAGCTTCTCCAAACTTCCTTGAGTTTAGAGCATAAAACACCACCCATCTCTCCTCTGGCCAGATGAATGAACAGATATGCAGATACTAGGCCAGGAGGTCAATGTCCAGTTGCATTTCCTCAGTCAAGAGAGGGAGGTAGGGCCAGGGATTTAGCTCAGTGGTTCTGTCGCCTGCCTCGCAAGCACAAGGTCCCAAGTTTGATCCCTAGTACCAAAAAAAAAAAAAAAAAAAACCAAACAAAAAGAGAGGGAGGGATCTGGGTCCAAGAAGGATGAAACAAGCTTGAAGGTGTCTACTGGCTCATAGACTTCCTCCTGCTCTGTTCCTTGTTATAACATACCCTAACATCCTGTACAAAGTGAGACGGTGATTTGGGTTACCAGGCCCCTCTATCTCCTCAGAGCTAGCTTTGAGTAAATCATTTTTTTGCTTCTTACCAAAATAAATGGCCTCCTTTAATTTGGTCAGAGGTGAGCAAATGAACGCGTGTCTGGACCTGCGCAGCTGGTAACACCACCGTTCCGGGAAAGGGAAGAGCTCCGAGAAAGAGAAAAGCCTTAAGAGAGAGGTTCCCCAGGAGAGATCCTCAACTTGGCAATGTCTGTGCCATGTCAAACGTTATTGGATTTGTCTTGACAACTTCAGGAACAGATCGGTTATAGAATGTGAGGACTATATTTCTGTATACCTGAATGTGTGTCAATTTTGGCCAGATGCTGCATAATTTGGAAGGTTTTGTGTGTACGAGTCAAAGAAACCTGTGAAGTTTCAGATATCTACTTAATGAGGGCCACGGCGAGTTGATTTGTGAGCCAGAGTAACTTCTTAACATACTGTAGTTTCTACCAAACTATTTGTAAAATTAATGGCCTCTGATGACCCCCATTACCATCTCCCTTCTTCCTGAAAGAAGGCATTTCATTGCTTTATGAAGCTGTACACAGAAGAGTAATTAAGTAACAATTCAGGCCAATGGCCTCTCCCAGGAATTAATGGTAGGGAGAGTTCATTAACCCCAGCTGGTGATAGCTTCTCCAGGAAATGCCCTGGACCAAGGTTATCCTAGCTGTTAATGGATTGGATAGGGACTTAACTAGGATAAAAATAAAGTCCATCTCCTTCCTGGGGAGCTTTTCTCCTTGAGGGGCTACCAAAGGCAAGCTGGCAGGAGCCGCAGAACCTCCAGTTTGGGGCTTGGCATGGATGAAGACAACAGATGTTACCAGTGAGCATTGTTAAATCAAGGTAAAAACAAGGCCTTTGGGGCAAATTAAGGTCTTTGATATAAGCCTTCCTGCAGTGTAGGCTATGGCTTGATTAACACCCAGGGCAGCTCTGCTGCAGCTGTTTCCCTTGTTAATTTTTCTCTCCCTGTCCTGCCCTGTTCTGTGCAGAACTGTGGCTGAGAAGCATTTCACGTCGCACTTGTTGGGGAGAATGCTATCTTTGTGCAAAGTTGTTGGCAAACACCTGCTCTGTTTCAGGCTGGGTGCTCTGGCTGTATTTGCTGGGCTTTGTCCTTTACTGCACGGGGGTGGCCAGGTGCCCTGAGCCTCTAGTGGAAGCTGCCCTGGCTCAGCCTGTCCGGCTACCTCAGGAATGGGCACTCTCCTCAGCTCACCTGGCTCATCCTTCCTTTGCAAACTGGCCTTGAATATTTTTATACATGAGTTAGCTTTTAAGGCTCACAGTCAAGGGAAGCTCTAGAAGCTCATTTGGAGCACTGTTCCTCAAATACAGCCTCAAATATGCTATTTTCCTTATGTCTTGTCTTAGTGACTTTTTATTTAGTCTCATTAAGTCTCTTTGAATTTTTTTCAGAACACTTCTCTCTTAGCATTCTCAAAAGCAGAAACTTGAACTATACTGAAATATGAAACAGAGAAAGATAGAGACAAAGAGGAGGAATGTACCCCACTCATTGATACAGGTTTGCTCCAGGTTTTTTAAATTTATGTACATGTCAAAATTTGGACTTCATAAAAATTAATATCTAATAGTTTGGAGATTTTGAGTGGGCAAAAATTGTACTTTATTTTAAAAATAAATTTTAAAAAATTTATCAAATCACTGCTAGACAATAGCAATAAAGAACTAAGAAATGAAAGTTCATCAAAGATCTTCCCTCATACCAAAAAACAAACAAAACCCCCTAAACACTGTATTTTTCTGAGTTTTCTTCTGTTCTTTGTCTATTAACCCATCTTGTATTACTTAGAATAGATATATTGTTGAATTTTTCCTTTTCATTTAATTTTTCTGTAAACCTTTTCCAGGCTGCAAAATACTCTATGTAATTATCATTTCAGTCACTGCATAAAATTCTGCTAGGCTGCGAATATTCATACTTTACCTTCCTTACAATACTTCCTGTCTGTCTTCCCAGTTGGACTATGAGCTTTTGAGGGCCCCATGAGTGCCTGCCTTACCCACTTGGGTTTCCATGACAAGATATACCAGACAAGTGGCCTGAGCGACAGGAATCCTTTCTTCACAGTTCTGGAGGCGGGAAGTCTGAGCTGTAGGTGTTTGCTGGTGGCTTCTTCTGAGGTTCCTCGGAGACTTGCAGATGCTATTTTCCTATGTCCTCACTTGGTTGTCCCTTGTATGTTCCTTGTGTCCTCTTCATCTCAAAAAGACATCCGTCACATTGGATGGTGGCAAATTTATGGCCCCCATGCCACAGCGGGCTGTGTGTATCATCGTATTAGGACCTATCCATATCACCTCATTTTTACTTAATTAATCATTTGATAGGCCCCGTCTCTAAAACTAATCACATTCTCAAGTACTGGGGATAGGACTTCAACACAAGAATTTTTGGGGCGACAGCTTAGCCCATAACAGTGCCTACATTTTCTTATTAACCCCAGTGCTTGGGAAAGTGTTTAGCTGTGGCTGAATTTACGAACATTCAGGTTGTTCTCAGTTGTTTCACATAAAAGTACTTCAAAAAATATATTTGTGGGGCAGAGGGTGGGGGATGAAGGCTATAGCTTTGTGGTTGAGGAGCTGTGCTTAGCAGCGTGAGGCTGTGGTCTAATACCTACAACCCCTCCCAAAAGACAATATATTTATAAATTCATTTTGCATTTTTCAGTATTCTCAAAATGTCAAAAAAATATACTTTTTAAAAATCATTTTTGAAAATACATTCATAATTAAAAAGATAAGGAAGAGGGAATCAATGTTTTGCTGGAATTAAAAGAGAAGATTTAAAAAAATCTCCTAGATGTACGACTATAACCTTGAACACTTTCTGGTTCATTCTTCTGTAAGTCTGGAAAAATGAACAGGAAAAGGGAGTTCCCCAACTGGAGTGTAGAGCTAGTATTATGGAGCACTTATTCAGTGCACCCTTTATATTAATGTCACTGCTTTTTGTTTTCAATAGGATTGTTTCTTCTGAGGTTACTGCTGCTTGGTAGCAGCTTTAATGAAGCTTTGCTTTATTTTAAGTTTATATCTGTAGTTTTTGTCTTTCACATTTGCAATTAGAAAGATTGTCAAATAGAGAATTCCTAAAAATAATAGCAAAAACCTCTGAATACAAATTCTTATAAAAATGCACACTCTGGGGGCTGGGATTTATATCAGTGGTATAGAGTATACTTAGCATATACAGGCCCTGAAAAAATAATTCACACTGAAATTTGAGATAACTTTATACTAATTTCTCAAGCTTCCTAATTCTGCTGTACATTAAAAACAGTCATTTACATTTTCTAATTAGTCCCACTTGATAACTATAGAGAACCCTTCCATACGTTGAGAATTTGGAGTATCTTGCTTAACTGAAATAAAATTATGCTGGGATATTTATATAAGTGATTTATCATTAACCTAGGCCATATATTCCATTATTCTTTTTTTTATTTAGCACTTTTAAAGGACCCATTATGTACTGATGGAGATACTGAGATTATCCAAAGGTGACTGGAGTACTCAGTTTTATAAGGGAGACAAACAGGTGCCCTACCATGTGAGTACTGTATTATTCACAGTCTTACAATGTGGTAAGTGTTATGGTGAAGGATATAATGGGGAGGACA